CCCTATGGGGTTCTATAGGATCCTATTGGTTTCTAAGGGTTCCAATGGGGCAATGTGTGTTCCTATGGGGCTGTATGGGATCCTATGGTGTCCTATGGGGTCTTCTTGGGTTCATTGAGATCCTATGGGTTCCTATGGGGCCATATGGGTTCCTATGGGGTTCAGTAGGACCCTATGGGTTCCTATGGGGCCGTATGGTGTCCTATGGGGTCCTATGGGGTCTTATGAGGTTCAATACGATCCTACAGGTTCTTATGGGGTCCGATCGGGTTCTAAGGGTTCCTATGGGTCCATATGGGGTTCTATGGGGCCGTATGGGGTCCTATGGGTCCATTTGGGGTCCTATGGGGTCCTATCAGGTTCTAAGGGATTCTATGGGGTCATATGGGGTCCTATGGGGTCCTATGGGGTCTTATGAGGTTCAATACAATCCTACAGGTTCTTATGGGGTTCAATTGGGTTCTAAGGGTTCCTATGGGGCCATATGGGTTCCTATGGGGCCATATGGGGTCCTATGGGGTCCTATCAGGTTCTAAGGGATTCTATGGGGTCGTATGGAGTCGTATGGTGTCCTATGGGGTCCTATGGGGTCTTAATGGGTTCATTGAGATCCTATGGGTTCCTATGGGGCCATATGGGTTCCTATGGGGCCGCATGGGGTCCTATGTGGTCCTATGGGGTCTTATGGGGTTCATTGAAATCCTATGGGTTCCTATGGGGCCGTATGGGGTTCTATGGGGTCCTATGGGATCTTATGGGGTTCAATAAGACCCTATGGGGTTCTATGGGATCCTATGGGGTTCTATGAGGTCCTATTGGGTTCTAAGGGATTCTATGGGGCCATATGGGGTCCTATGGGGTCTTATGGGGTTCAATACAATCCTACAGGTTCCTATGGTGTCCTATGGGGTCCTATGGGGTCTTATGGGGTTCAGTAAGACCCTATGGGTTTCTATGGGATCCTATGGGGTTCTATGAGGTCCTATCAGGTTCTAAGGGATTCTATGGGGCCATATGGGTTCTTATGGGGTCCAATCCGCTTCTAAGGGTTCCTATGGGTCCATATGGGGTCCTATGTGGTCCTATGGGGTCTTATGGGGTTCATTGAAATCCTATGGGGTCCTATGGGGTCCTATGGGGTCTTATGGGGTTCAGTAAGACCCTATGGGTTTCTATGGCATCCTATGGGGTTCTATGAGGTCCTATCAGGTTCTAAGGGATTCTATGGGGCCGTATGGGTTCCTATGGGGCCGTATGGGGTCCTATCGGGTCCTATGGGGTCTTATCAGATTCTAAGGATTCCTATGGGGCCCTACGGGGTCCTATGGGGCCGTATGGGGTCTTATGGGGTTCTCTGGGATCCTATTAGGTTCTAAGGTTTCCTATGGGGCCATATGGGGTCCTATGGGGCCGCATGGGTTCCTATGGGGCCATATGGGGTCCTATGGGGTCCTATGGGGTCTTATGAGGTTCAATACGATCCTACAGGTTCTTATGGGGTCCAATCGGGTTCTAAGGGTTCCTATGGGGCCATATGGGTTCCTATGGGGCCGTATGGGGTCCTATGGGGCCATATGGGTTCTTATGGGGTCCAATCGGGTTCTAAGGGTTCCTATGGGTCCATATGGGGTCCTATGTGGTCCTATGGGGTCTTATGGGGTTCATTGAAATCCTATGGTGTCCTATATGGTCCTATGGGGTCTTATGGGGTTCAGTAAGACCCTATGGGTTTCTATGGGATCCTAGGGGTTCTCTGGGGTCCTATTAGGTTCTAAGGTTTCCTATGGGGCCATATGGGTTCCTATGGGGCCGTATGGGGTCCTATCGGGTCCTATGGGGTCTTATCAGATTCTAAGGATTCCTATGGGGCCCTACGGGGTCCTATGGGGTCGTATGGGGTCCTATGGGGTTCTATGAGGTCCTATCAGGTTCTAAGGGATTCTATGGGGCCATATGGGGTCCTATGGGGCCGTATGGGGTCCTATCGGGTCCTATGGGGTCTTATCAGGTTCTAAAGATTCCTATGGGGCCCTACGGGGTCCTATGGGGCCGTATGGGGTCTTATGGGGTTCTCTGGGATCCTATTAGGTTCTAAGGTTTCCTATGGGGCCCTACGGGGTCCTATGGGGCCATATGGGTTCCTATGGGGCCATATGGGGTCCTATGGGGCCGTAAGGGCGTATGGGGTTCCTATGGGGTCCTATAGGTTCCTATGCTTTCCTACGTGTTTCCTCCCCGAGATCCCAAACCCCAAAACCGTCGTATTTTTGGGGCCGAAAAAACCCCGATTCGCTCATTTTCGCAGCTGCAGCCTCCAGGTGTCCCTTCCAGCATGGGGGGGAAAAGGGGGGGGTTGTTATTTTTGGGATGAAAAAGGCATTTTTTGGTGAAACTGGAAACCTTTCGGGTGCCGCCAAGCGGAGAGGAGGCGGGAAACGATGGTTTTTTTTCGGCATCGGTTTTGCAGTTTTTCACCATTTTTGTGGTTTTTCGGCCCATTTCGGGCCTCCCCAGGTGGGGCTGAGATCCACGGAGCGGA